CCACTTGACATCTACCGAGTCCGTATGTGGACCACAATGTGAAATTAGTTTGACACCCCTGGTTTATCAGCATCAGATAATTGTAACGTCACACTCACATGGAACTCATGCCGGCCTTTATCTGTTTTGTTTAGTTTTTTGTGGCTAAACGTTTTGCAGGATAAATAATGGTGACGAAGCTCTGATGGGTTCAGACAATTTAGAGAATACATGAAATAAAAGAACGTAGATTCAATTGAAATAGCCAGTCGGGCCAACCTACTGTATCTGTTTACCTAGAGTGGAACCTTTTCAGAAATTTAACAAGGATTCTTTCTTTAAATGTTTCATACATCCAACATCTTATTTGCATCCAAGTGCATGCAAACAGCAGTACTTGTTACTGCTGGGGCCAGATACCTGAAATATTCATGGAGTTTCCTTGTCAGAGCAGATTTTTGCAGCTTCACGGAATAAAGCTTTGGAGAGCGAAAAGAGGGGGCGAGGGGATGGAGCAATTGGGGACAGGAGGGGTGCCAGAGTCAACAACACTACTCAGCAAAATAAAAGCTTTGTTGAGTCACGCTAATCAAAGTGGAGGGTAGATGAGGCTATATTTTTAAAAAAATGTACATGGAAGAGCGCAGGCGGGTGGGGAGGGTGTATAGATTCTGGACCGAACTGAATTATGTTTCAGGGTTCCAAAAATCCAGACTTAGACAAAATACGATGACAAAAATATTCAAGAAAATCGCACCTACTAAGTATGAACTGATTTCTTCACATTGGTCACAACAGTGCTTGAAAGAAACCAAAAGCATTTGGCAAAAGGTAAGGTACTAAGGAACACCAAGAATAAACAAACGAAATGTCTGGAAGCCAATAACGCAAAGACAAACAAGAGCAATAGTAAAATAGCAAAATTCTTACAAACAAGAAAACGAGAGTGACTATGAGTTGTAGCATGAGGTCTAGAAAATAACACTTGAAGCACAACGGCGGTCAATAGTCTGACAAGGAGAAGCAGAAGTCAGAGTCCTTAAATACAAAATGAGGTTGATGAGGAAATGAGGTGGAGGTGCACCTGCTGGAGGGAAACACCCTTCACTCCAGCTGGAGCTGGAACACAAACGAGACAAATCATGACATGGGTAACCAGTCGGACAGTGAGGCCAATATTTTTACTGTGCTACTGCAAAGAGCCACATACTGCAATACTTATGAGTGCACATAAACTGTAGCCATCCCGTCCCCTCGCTCCCAGATCTCTTTTGCATGTACAGTATGAATGAACTCTCCTTCTTTGTAAAACTGTTTCGCCAGTCCAATGTTCCCAGCAAATTGGTATGAGTTCTTTGGGAACAAGTATGTCTACCGCCTGCTGGTACACTTGCGAGACAAGCACAAAAAACACAACAAAACTTTTTTTTTTTTTTTGCCTAGTAGTGTTGATGTGACATTAAATAAAAACTGTGTTAAAACACCATGTTAATCTTCATATTTTGGTTTCCCTCCTCACTTCCCTCCCATTTTGAGAGTGAATCTAAGCACAGTGAATTTGTTCCTTTCCAACACAGAAAAGGACAGCACGGTTTCAAATGAATTTGACTCCACTTTTCCTAACTCACATCACTGCGCGACAGCGAGTATTGCTGATATAAGCACTCAAGGGTCACGGGTGTGCTGGGTCACCCCAAATTTATGTTGACATCTCAACTTATGCTCACATCAAGCTTTGAAAATATGTCATAGTGGTCGTCCTAGTATTACGGATTTTATGGCAATGGCACTTTCTTCTCCATAGAGGCGCTCACTATGAAGTTTATGTCACAAAATGAGAGAAGCCCTTCGTCCATAAAGGACAAAATATGGGGGCGGTCGTTGTCGTTGTGATATTTTTAGAGGTTGGTGAGGGTGGAAGTAGAGATGTCCGCATACATTATGGTACCGTGTGATATCAGTTTTGTGACGTATTAATAATAATAATAATAATACATTTCATTTACAAGCACCTTTCAAAACACTCAAAATGCGCTGATGTTGAGTTTGACACTGCTGCCCCAAATGCCAGTCTACCGCAGTGTCCTTGGCTCTCATTTACAAATACATACATAGTTTACAGATATGTCTTGCCACATTTCATAATGCCACACACACACACACACACACGCACGCACACACACACACACACACACACACAGACACACACAAAATGCAGCTTCACTTTGACAAATGTGCAGGACTCTCACACATATACACTGATGCATTTATTGCGCATTAGCCTGCTTACCTCACATTATATTCCATCAGGCTGTTGCAGATAAGACTGGCAATCAATTACAAATACATCATACCACTGTTTCTTTATATTTTTAATGTTACAGTGATAAGCAACTCAACACTAGTATGTCACAACACAAAATAGTTTCAATGACAAAATACAATAATATCCATCCATTTTCAACATCACTTATCCTGAACAGGGTCGCTTCTGGAGCCTATGCCAGCAGACTTCAGGTGGAAGGCAGACTACACCCGGAACTTGATCGCCAGTCAGTCGCAAGGCACATCAAGATATGAACAACCATTCACACACACATTCACACTGTCACTGAACGGGAACCGATCCTGCCTGCACACAAGTCAGACGAGTGTACCACCACACAATCAGTGACAAAATACTGATAATAATGCAGTTTAATTTTAGAAGTCCATGTCTCAAATGGTGGTGTACAAGCATCTTGGTGGACGGGCACACCCGTGGTGACGGGGCCAGGGTGGATGGGCCTTGGGTCATCTACAACCAAAGCAAACATACCAGCATAACAAAAAGGTGAAATATGATGCAGGTTTCTCTTGTCAACCAGCCATCAACTTCCTGTCAACAATAACCTCCATCACCTTGTACAGAATTTACCTTTCGCAAGTACAATATGCCCTTGGTGATTTAAAAAAAAAACAGGTGGAAAATATACAGTACATTTGACTTAATAGATGGAATCCATTAATTTTTGCATTCAAGGGCAATCTTGTACTATCATGGAGTACACACAAATGGAAGTTTGTAAGTCTACCACGGTTCGAGGTCCATTATTTGCTGACTTATACATTTGTATTAAAGCAATTCATAAATTTCCATCTTATTATTGAGGCTTAAGATAAGCTCTGTCCAGTCAAGGGAAATTGGATCTTCCTTAACAGTGACGCCTGCACACTTGTGTGCTACTTTAAACCTGGATGTTTATGTTCCTTTTCAAACAGCACCTCGGTCTTGCATTGGTGCTCAGTCCAGGCTTATTGTAACATGAAGGATACAAGTGAATTGTATAACTGCTCACAATCATGAAAATTGTGGACCAATCGAAGATTTTTCATAGTAATACATTGCAATATACCAACATCATCATAAAATGTACAAGGTAAACAAAATAATACTGTTTTAATTTTTAAGTGGTCATGAAAATTGCAAAGTTACTATTTCATCCATCCATCCATTTTCTGATCCGCTTATCCTCACAAGGGTTGGGGGCGTGCTGTAGCCTATCCCATCTGTCATCGGGGGACACCCTGAGCTGGTTGCCAGCGAATCTCAGGGCACACATACAATAAAATACAATACATGCTAATTTATATAGCGCTTTCACAACAGTGGCAGCTGTAACAAAGCGCTTAACAAAACAGTTAACATAAAGTAAAATAATAAACACAACACATAACATAAAACACGAACAGTCGTGCAGTCCTAACCACTTTTCCCTCACACGCTTTGTTGTTTAAAGCAGTTTGAGATGAAAGAGGAGAGAATCAAAGTGTCCTTTCACCAGTGGATCAGAGACGTCGTTCTCAAAATGTGCACACGTCAGCTACAAGCTTAGTTTCAAAGTCAACAAGAAGCTGCAGCATCCATTGACGAAAAAAAGAGATTGGTTCACTTCTCCTGTCCCATGTAAATCCATTTCAATTCCAAGCGGCAACTGTCAGTTCCAAATGCGCATCTGCGCTCCGCGCCGACGCTCCTCTCTCCTCATCAACTTCAGCAGCCATCCATCCAGCCACACCAACGCCGACTGTCCAACAGCGCCGACATCTCCACTGAACAAAACGAGGCTGTGAAAAATGCTGCCTATTACAGGCACAAAAAACACAACCACCCTGGGGCTGTCCAGCACCGACAGTCAATGGCACCGTCATTCCTCCCAATCAAAATCTGTACTGGTACAGGCATGCAGCCAAGAAGGCGCAACCACCAAGATGAACGATCATCCGCGCTCACACTCACATTTATGGAGAATTTAGAGTGTTCCTTGAACCTGTCATGCATGTTTTTGGAATGTGGGAGGAAACCGGAGTACCCAGAGAAAAGCCACACAGTCACGGGGAGAAATGCAAACTCCACACAGGGAGGCCGGAGCCAGAATCGAACCCTGCCCTTCTGCACTGCGAGGCCGACACGCTAACCAGTTACTACCGGACTGCAAGTTACTATTTTTAAGGCATGAATTGTTTTGCAGTTCCTTGCTTGGCCTACTGCTTGAAGGCTGCTAGGATAGGCTCCAGCACGCCCGCAACCCTCGCGAGAACAAGCGGTTCGAATAATGAATGCATGGATAAGTGAAAGTGTATCCAAGAGACTGGACAGGTTATGGTATTAGCATTTTATATTGTTGATGATATTATATAATATATTTATATTGTTGCCTTTTACGTGCACAGCGTGGGAACGTTGCCTCAGACTCTTGCACAGAGAACACGCGTTTACTACTACAGTATTATGCGTTGTAAAGTTACCTGTAATTCCAAGCTTTGTCATCCATTACATTGCATCACTTCCTGGTAATGGGCGTGTGGAAGAGACACGCCTCTCTGTGACGTCACAAATGCGTGACTTGTGCGTAGGTAGTTGCGAGCGCGCCCGGCTGGTCGTCACTGAGCGAAAGGAATAGAGTGAGTGGACGTTGTCTGCACGAGCCGACACCGCAAAGAAAAAGACGAAGCAACACCCAGCAACCAGGTGGACAAGCAGCTTCTGAAGCCGTCTTGCCTCCTTTCCTCAGCCACAACCGACCAACTCTTTTATTCTCATTAAATATGTCTAATATCGTCTGCTGTCAAACGCCACAGGTAAGATGAAACTAAAATATATCTTACTGCCGAGACGCCAGTGTGGCGAGTTGCTGTTGAATATGGCGAGATTTTTATTATTTTGCGAGATGTTTTATTATTTTTTTAACGTGCAATGTTGTGTGAGTCGTTTCTTATCTGGAGATGTATCTGCACTCTTTACGGGATGGAAATGGCTGTCTTCGGCTCCACTGCTGCTGAAAATGGCCGGGCATTTTTACAGCCGCCGTCGACAATGTCGCACACAAAATAAAGGTTCATTTGTCCCACCTCGCCAGTCGCGAATTTTCTGGTGCTGCGTAAGGACAAAACGTTGTAATAATGCCTCGTTGTCTGCCTCTGGATTGAACGGTTAGCTAGCGCGCGTGTCTCGTGGTTGCCATCCCAGCTCAGCAGGTTGTAGCCACCGGAAAGCTAACAATGACTGTTAAGCATGAACCTCCACCGGCATTCTTTGTTCGTTATTCGTGTGGAATGTTTCAAAGGTGTCTTGTTAAGCGAGCTCTGCAGTGGCGCGATGTATGTCGTGGCACAGGGCCAAGCGTTCGAGGGCCCCGCTAAGTTCCTCTAGCACCGGGAGGCAGACGCGCGAAGGACATTTTGGAAGCTAGCCACGATTTTCATTGACACGTGCGGCCTCCTCTTAAAAAAAATCACCCTGTAACATAATGCCGTATTTGATCACTTGTTAACTAGATATTGATGCTCTTGTACCGCCAACAAGACAATATTAATTTTCTACGAAAGGGAATAGTATTGAGGTTTAATGCGCCTTGCGTTGCCGAGTGGAGACTTCATTTCGTGCCTTAAATCCGTCCTGCTGTGCTCGTAATCCGATACGGAAACCGATGGCCACATAGATCTTTCTAATTGCTCTAATTCTCAAATACCCTCGGTAATTTCTCATTAGAAGAGAAAAGTACCAATTGTATGGCTTTAAAGGATGGTTTAACTGCTTGAGAATGACATCACAAAGTGGAAATCCTGTTATTGCGACAAAGCTCTATTGCAATTGTAATTCGTTTTTTCTTAAATTACTTTTTCAATATTATCAATTAAAGATACTGCCAGACTTTGTTTTAACATGGTGTTAAATATGCTTTCAAGATTAAGCCCTCGTTTTTCGTTCCGTTATATTTGGTATAGTGAAATTGATGCGGTACATTTCCACTGGAACCAAGCAACTCTCGCAGTAGACAATCCCCTCCACTAGAAGGTGCTCTAAACGCGTTGAGATTCTAGTCAGACGTGCACTTAAGTGCTCAACTAGTCACATGGAAACATTGAGTTTTGCTTCCTGGGCTCCGCTCGCCCCTTTCCTTCCTATGCTCCCCTTCATTCCCCCGGTAATCAAGCACACGTCTCAGGAAGCTGCCCTTGTCAAACAACATCTGGCACGTATTTCACAAATGACATATTATGGCCAATATCAGTACTGTTCTTGTCACAGCCTAATCTTCAGTATTTACAAAACTCAGAGCATATATATTTTTTAAACCAATCCTACGAAATTCCAACATTTCACAAGGTTGATTGCGGTTTATGCAAGGTAGATTGATTTCATTTTTGTTGTTCAGTGTTAATGTGATACAATGCTGACTTAATCGAGGAGCTGTGATTTGGGCTTTGCTGGTCGAGCATTGGAGGGATAATTTACTGGGTGGAGGCACAAGGGTAGTAAGTCAGCAGACGGAGTGCGGCTTAGACCATTCACTGAGTAGTTGCATAATCAGCCAAAAGTGGGTCAGTGTTCTCACCATCTAAACACAAACTGGAAGAATTACAGCTTTCAGCGCCGGTGCTGCTCTGCTTGTGATTTAGTGGATTACAGAAAGACTGCAGTGTGCTGAAGCGTGTCCCATGATGGATGGTTTTTCCCTGTGAAAAATGTTGACGCTTATTTTTATTATTCTCTATTTAGCAAGTTTGCCAAACCCAAATCAATTTCCTAGGATTTTTTTCCCTCACTCATATTTCCCCTTCCTTTGATAACTGGTATTCTAATAATCATGTCCCAGTAAACTTTGTCCCCTTGTATGCATTTTTGTTGGGCTGTTTTCTAACATCTTTTAATCACATTGCATAGTATGGTTTTGGATGGAGTTGGTTGCCTCATTTTGGTTGATTTGTACAATAGGACAATTAAAATGCTTAAACAATACATGGTTTCTTATCCTACTAGTCATGGTCTTCACAAATGCATTTGTATATTTGATCAGAGAACTGTTTAATCTTAAAACCAAATTCAACTTTTCACAATTTGCTTCCAGTGCAGCAGGTTCTTTACAGCGTAGTTCAGTTCTTCAGTTGGATAGGGTCAAAGTGAATGTTGAGAAAAAATGATGAAACTGTTACCAGGGCTGTACACTAACTTATGCACTGATGCTAGCAACTTTGCTACATGGCATGAGTGATCCGAGTGATCTGCTCGCAGCACACACACACACACACACACACACACACACACACACACACACACACACAACACTTTATCTCGCCCGATAGTTGGAGGCCCAACAGGCCATACAAATACTGTGTTTTGCACTAGTAGCACCTAATTTTACATAAATCATGGAACATTGGATGACCACCACGTACGCTCAGATGCCAAAATGCAAAGCAGGTCGATAGCACCTCAGCGAGTGGGAGCAAGCTGACTGGAAAGCTGTCATTTCTAAAGCAAATAGCGCTAGTCAGGTTAGGTGACTCTGGCAAATTTGCACATGGCAAAGTACACATGACGCGCGTCACCGACAGGCTTCCGCCTTGCATATGCAGTCTGACAAGCCAACAGAGTTGGATTTCCTCCCCTGAATCCCCCTTCAAATGCGGTAGGAGCATTAAAACATGGACTCGGCTAGTGCGACCGCATAAAATATTTACCCACGCATGTTGAAAAGTTGGCCGCATATTGAGCGCACTGTCGAGCCCTGTGTTATATTGTAAATTTTTGGATCAGGGTTTCTATGGTAATATCATGCAATAATATTCCCCAAAAAGGCATTTTTTTTCTTCCCCAACACAAAACTCAATCTCTCCATAATCCTGGGTTATTTATTTATTTATATTTTGGTGAGACTAAGTTTTGGGAAATCTTGCCACGTTTCGACTCACACCATTGTGCAAACTAGTGTATTGTTTGCCATACATAAGTATAGATCGTCATATGTCAAAGACTCCTTGCATTCTGAAAGTAAAGGCTACTCTCAAAAGTGTGATTGCTGTTTCAGAATATGGGCCAGCTGCTGTAGTCTTGTCTTTGGGCTTCCACATCTGTTTGCATAAGGCGGAGAAAAAAAAGTAGTGTGTTTCCCGTAACATGAAAGCGGCTGTGTTAGGGAGGGGCCAGCCAGGCAGCCTCCTCAGCCAGGGTGCTCTGCACCTCACACCTGAGACTCGTCAGCTCATCACCCACCTGTTGCCTATCTGCTCGTTTGGACTGGTACATATTGACTCACAGACCATTCCTCAGTGCAAGTTCGTGCCGTCACCACGCCAGTGGACT